AGAGAGGTAGGGTGGACGGGAGTAAAAGTAGAAGTGGTAGTTTTGCCTGCAGCGTTCACACAGCAGTTAATGGAAACATGTTGAAGGGGGAGAGAGTCTTGCGGAGTGGTAGGGTGGAATGGAAATAAAGGAGTGGAGCGTTGATCGCGCTGCAGCGTTAACGCAGCAGTTGGTGTAATGGTGCATCCAAGGCATCTGCGAGGTAAAAGGTGTCCTTTTAGGAGTCTAATTTGAACAACAGGTGATTTGTAGTGTTGAAGCTGTAGTGGATGGAAACATACGCATGTCGAGTCACACTTTTTGTCCGAGGATTCAAGGGCTGCAGGAGAATCTACTGCAGCCCGGGGGGGGGGGGGGGGGGGGGNGGGGGGGGGGGGGGGGGGGGGGGGGGGGGGGGGGGGGGGGGGGTCGTCTGTTTGGCAAGGTTGTGTTTGCCCCCAGACTCAAGTGCTGAACAGAACAGTCTTGTGAGGTTTGATTGCTGAAAGAGTGATGTGATAAGGGAGAATTCAAGCGCCTCATTACTACGTGATATTAATATGTGCTGGACTTGTCTACCTGTGGGGAATTACTTTTGCTTCGGTAAGGAATTTATGTTTTTTCTTGAGATGGAGCTGATCGAACCGCTTTTTTTGCGAGGAGACTCGGAAAACGCACGTCTTTATTGTACCGCACCGATCGTGGTAGATGGGCAGAAAGATGCGCGTGGCAAGGAGTTGTTGGATGAGAGAGCCGTCCGAATGCTGGGCCGGCAGCGCTCCTCGTGAACGATGATTCGATATTTGTTTTCGGCGTGAAGGTGTTGGAGGAGGTGCCTGGCTGTCGTGCACCTCAACAAACACGCCGTTCAATAGTCGAGCGCCTTCCCTACCGCTGTCATTAGCCAAACATGTCACCATCGTGTCGTGTGGGAAAACAACGCACACAACAAAAACAACAACAACAACAACAACAACTTTCAGACGGCAACAATACATTTAAACTCTGCAACAGGTGTCGCTTACCTTCGACGACGGAGAGGATCAGCGGGTGCAGCTGATCGTGCACTCTCTCAAGCCGCCCTTCCTAGACGGCCGCGTTAGCTTCAGCATGCAGCAGGTCAGTCAGGGAGGTAGTACAACCCAATCACTCTTGCGCCTCATTTGTTTCACCCCTACCCACGGATCGGGATGCTCGTGCCGACCAGGCTCTGGGGCGGGGGGGTTGCAGTGTACACAAGAATGTCTTCGTTGGCCTATCATTTTCGTTGACATATCTATGAGGCGTCACCCATTCTCGCATCGGTCCATCGATCTTGGCGTCATCATCAGCATATATAGCGTGTCTGGGGTGTATGCTGTGCGATGATGCATTCTGGTTCATTTTAAGGTTGCCTATGCGCTCGTTGTTTTGACTTCGTCAAGTAGGACTCCTTTGGAATCAGGGGGGGGCATGGCGTGCGTGTGGCGAACAGTGCTTTATTGATTGTTTTGCGTCAAGCTGTGGCGAAAAACCGTTCGACATGTTAACGGTTTTGGGCGGTCCCAATGCGACCCGCACCATTTCCGTGCGGTTTTGTCTTCTGTCGTCTGTTGTGCGATTTCTTGACCTCTCTCATCTCTCTCAATCTCTCTCTCTTTCCCTCCCTCAATACGTCTCAATATCTCCTGACATTTCAATCACCCCGCCTCGTTACATACTTGTACGTGACGTAGCACTTTTTTTTCGATTATTTTTTCGCCACCAGTTCCGAATAACGATCATGACAAGGGAAATCGGTTTGTTTTATTATTTTTCCGCACTCAATGGTGAAATGTTCCACAAGACACCACGCCATTGATGGGACATGCAGCGTTTTCAGCACTTTTTTTCGGTTTCCTTTTACAGAAAATGGTGCCTACCGTAAAGGACCCTTCGAGCGACTTCGCTCTCTGCGCCCGCAACGGGTCTGCCACCCTGCGGCACCAGCGGGAGAAGCGGGAGAAGGGCAAGATGCGCCAGAGGTTCTGGGAGCTGGGGGGCAGCCGCATGGGGAAGGCCATCGGGGTGGAGGACAAGGCCGGGGACGAGAAGAAGGAGGCGGAGGCTAAGGAAGAGGTAACGCAAGCCTGTTTTTTTTTCGCCGGGTTGTTTTCGATGTGGTGTTGTTGTTGTTGTTGTTGTTGTTGTTGTTGTTGTTAGCGTTGCTTCTCCTTGCGTTTGTCGCCGGGTAGTCGTAGATCCCGGCCCAGCTGCTGGAATCGTGTTTGGGCGTGTATATCCGAAGTGACGAAAAAAACGTGGAACTTGGGAATAGGGCGAGGGCGAGGACCCCCGAATGTCCCACGTGTTATTCGCTTAGTATTTCTCCACTTAGAGGTATCGGTTGGTCAGGGCTGTACGGCGCATTGTACAGCTTTCGTTTTGCACAGATAGTTTTTTTTTTAAGGTCTTGCTTACACGACGTCATCCAGCAAGAGGAAAAGAAGGGTGGTAGCGTTGCTTTCATAACCTTCGTCCCCTTCGTGTTTTCCTTCTTTTCGTGTGTGGCTGTTGCTGGCTGAGAATGTGTGCATCATCTCTTGCTTTCAAGAAAAAGCCTGAACTTCTTGGAAGCAGTCGTGGTTGCTCTCGAAACGCGAACTTGTGGTGCTGGTGCCGGCAACGCAAACCGTTTTCGCTTTTGCCCCCTGGGCCGGCGAAAACCCGGAAGGCGTATCGCTCCGTCCTGACATCGCTGGGGTGCGAGGTCAATATTATAAAGACTACGGCATCCGTTTCCATGAGTGCCCCCCGCCCCCCCCCCCCGCCAATGACATTATTAGGAGGAAGAGACAGACTACAAGAAGGCGGCCGGGTTCCAGCAGCACATGAAGAAGACGGAGGCCAACTCACACTTCAGCAAGTCGAAGACGATGGCCGAGCAGCGAGAGTTCCTTCCGATTTTCCAGGTCAAGGAGGACCTCCTCCGGGTCATCCGAGACAATCAGGTGTGGTATATAAAAACATACACGGCGTTTTTCTCGTTTGAGCTATTCACGTTCACATTTTTTTTTGTTTGTCTCCTTTTTTCACGTTTTGTCTACCACGGTAAGTCAAGGAGGGCCTCCTATGGGTTCTCCGAGACAATCAGGTAGGTACATGGACGTTTTCTCTCTTAAGCTACATGTTTAAGGTCAGTCTTTTTTTTTCTTCTTCTGCTTTCACGTTTTGTCTACATAACAAAGTACAGTAGGTCAAGGAGGACCTCCTTCGGGTCATAGGAGACAATGAGGTAGGTACACGGGCGTTTTCTCTTTTAAGCTATTTTACGTTCACAATCTATTTTTTCTTCTTTGTTAACGTTACGTCTACCACGGCACAGTTAGGGGTGTTAAAGCGGCGGAATTTGGGCAAAAAATCGTCCGGTCCATTCGGCAACATTTGAGGGGGGCACGCGGATTTGGTTCTTTTTTTGGTTCTTGGGAATCCCGCTGTTAATACTGGATAAACTATACATCAAGTCAATTTGTTTGTACAGGTAGCTCTGCGTCCACACAGCAGCATGGCTCTTCATGCGTTACACAAACGTGGACACAGGTCCAATAGAGGTGAATGTAGAATAGGTTTTCTCTTAAAAGTAAAAGGGCGGACGAACAACACCAAAAACATGTTTTTTTGGGCTATTTGCTCCACGCCCAAGGCGACCTTTGCTCCTCTCGTGAAAGCGATTCTACAGCCCTCTACCTTGGGTTTACAGCTATACCACACAACAAACCGCATCCGAATCGCATCAGCCAACCACGAGATCTACATGTCTGAAAACTGTCCCTCCAGTGGGGCTGCAGCGCCCACACCAGCAGACCCTCCCCAAAAAAAAATATCGAGGTCCGCGCCGTTCGGCAGCAGGAGGCGCGCTGCCCGAAAGCTGAATCAAAACAAAAAGAAGTTTGAAGGGAGGACGGGGCAGTGTATGGTTGCCGCGTCAGCAGAAGATAGCACGCGGCGCTCTATCAAACGCGGCAGCCTCACCGTCGTAGAGAGAACGCTGAAGGAAACGAAAGAAGAGTTGGTCAAAAGTAAGAAAATTGTGGGAGAGAGCCAGGCTCAACCTCGCTGCCGCCGCCGCCGCCGCCGCCGCTGCTGCTGCTGCTGTTTTTCTCAGCAGCAGCAGCGGCGGCGGCAGGTGTTTGCGTGGCTTCACCTCCCGGCTGCTGCTCGGGTGTGTCATGAGGCATGTGTTCTAGAGTGGGACCGCGCAATGGTGTTGTGCTGTGCCCCATAGCAGGGCGCAAAGCACACAGGCGAGCCGCGCCCTCGCGCGTGTGCGTCAGAGGGTCTTTTCGGGAGGTTCCGACGGTTCCGTGCAATTTCATTGGTTGGTCGATTTTCCATCAGGAAGATCCGACGACGCTTTTTCGAATTTTTTCCTATAGGAAGTTTTCCGCTTTGACACCCCTAACAGTAAGTCAGAGAGGACCTCCTTCGAGTCATCCGAGACAAGCAGGTACCAAAGGGACAGTAGGTACACGACGATCTCCTGTTCTTCCCGGGCTGGTAAGTACGACCACATATCGCCTTGTGCTGTGCTTCGATTCCACCAACCAATTGTTTTTCTACCCCTTGCCGGCAAGCTACTTGTATCATAATATCCGTCGACAAGAGCGACGGAATAACAGTTTTCTGTTTCCTTCTTGGGCTATTCGCGCGTTTGCTTGTCTTTTTTTTCTTTTTCTTTTCCTTTTTTTTTTCAGGTGGTGATCATCGTGGGGGAGACGGGGTCGGGCAAGACCACCCAGATGACTCAGTACCTGCATGAGGGGGGTTTCACACAGTGAGTCTTGTCATTTGTAGGCATCATTGCAATCGTTCTGACAGTGATGCATGGTAAGGAAGGCGGGTGTTGTCCGTCGAAAGAAAAGTCGGACGTTCGCGCAGGCATCTATTCGCGAAACGCAACCTGCCTCGTAACCGGTACGCCCGCGTTTTCTGATCGGTCTGGCTTGGCTGCGTCCGTTAGTGTACTTCTCGACTGACGCCAAACTTTGGACATGGTAACAGAATATTGAAAGAAGCCACGCACACACGGCTCTTATCTGTTGTCTGTGTCCCAACACAACCCAAGGCATTTGTGAAATCGGGTAACATCACGCACGCATCACTTGTCTTATTTCATGTGTCACAACACATAACCCCACACATTCGATGTTTGCAATCGCTGTAACATTGTGTCCTGGTACGGCATTTTATGTTCTGTTCCGTCAGGTTTGGCAAGGTGGGGTGCACCCAACCCCGTCGTGTCGCAGCCATGTCCGTGGCCAAGCGTGTGAGCGAGGAAATGGGCGTGGAGCTAGGGGACGAGGTAAGAAAATCACCGCCCGCCCGTCCTGACGCAACCTTTCATGCGCGTTAGGGTAGAAACGAAGGGAGCTGTAAAAAGTGTGGTTGTTAGGAACAACGAAGCCCCCCCCCCCCCCCCCCCCCCCCCCCCCCCCCCCCCCCCCCCCCNCGCAGGGAGGGGGGCATGTCTCGTGGTGAGTGGGCTACATGACTGTAGAAGGCAGCAATTTTTCTCCGCGGTGCCCCTTTTGTTTTATGCGCTTTTTTGTTCATGCTGAGTACGAACTGAGGGACAAGGGTGTTCCACCCAAACAAGCGTCGTCGCCCATGGCGATTATGCGAATGGAGTAACTGATAGGACCTGCTGCATCAAGTGAAGGGCATTTTGCACGGCCTGCGCGCCCGGCAATCCGTCGCCATTACACCACCCCGAATTGAGAACTGACATCCTCACGAAAGAGTCGTTTTCCACCCGAAAAAGTGTGCAATTTTTTGTTGCCATAACTGAGAGAGAGTCGAGTCCCAAGCTTCTTTGTACTAGGTTTACGAGGTCAACTATATGAAACGGCGGACCCGCTTGTTGCGCCATCCTTGTTTTTTGTTTTCACGCACGCCCTGTAAATGTAAAGCCCGTGAATGCAGCCCCCCCCCCCCTGGGAGAAGTTGATATCCTCACCAAGAAAATCGTTTTCCACCGCACAGCGGCGCAGATCAATTTTTTCCACATCTGAGACAGCATGGAGTCCCACAGCTCGTTCCTATGTGCTGGTATTATTCTAACACTTGACGGTGCGTGAAAATGTAAAGCCCGTGAATGCAGCCCCCCCCTGGGAGAAGTTGATATCCTCACCAAGAAAATCGTTTTCCACCGCACAGCGGCGCAGATCAATTTTTTCCGCATCTGAGACAGCATGGAGTCCCAGAGCTTGTTACTATGTGCTGGTATTATTCGAACACTTGACGGTGCGTGAAAATGTAAAGCCCGTGAATGCAGCCCCCCCCCCCCTGGGAGAAGTTGATATCCTCACCAAGAAAATCGTTTTCCACCGCACAGCGGCGCAGATCAACTTTTTCCGCATCTGAGACAGCATGGAATCCCACAGCTTGTTACTATGTGCTGGTATTATTCTAACACTTGACGCGGTCGTATGAGGTTGAAGAAAGGGCGACAGGCTTCCTCACCGCCTTTTTTTACACGCACCCCATGGTCCTTGAATGCTGCCCCCCCCCCCTCCCCCCTCTTGCGAAACTTTGGTTCTACATACCGGTTGTACGGGTAAGGTGGGGTACGCGATTCGATTCGAGGACGTGACTTCGGAGAAGACGATAATCAAGTACATGACCGACGGCGTGCTTCTGAGAGAATCACTCAGGTGCGTTGCGATGCAACATCGGTATAGTAGCGGTGCCCCGGTGGGCAAGGCCGCATAGATGAGGCCGCTCTCCCGTGCAGTTAATCGTTCAGGCTTCTTTGCGATGCAGTGTCCCTGTGTGTAAGACCGCATAGATGAAGTCCGCTCGCCCCTGCAGAGAATCGCTCTGGCGTGTTGCGATGCAGCTCGTAGTGGTGTCCCCGTGTTCAAAGCTGCACACAAAGAAGCCCGACCGACCTACAGCAGTGAGCAGTGAAGTCGCTTGACACAGGTCGCCCTTGCGCAAGGTTGGTAAAATCATGTGACACAGGTGGTAAGTCAATACTCATTGCTGTTGCCTCTTACCATGCTATTTCTCTTAGCAGTCCCGGGTTCCCGGGACAAAGTCGCCCGAATCCCTTGGCACCATTAATGCTACTTTATCTGTGCGGCGGCCAATGCTCTTGGTAGCACTAGTGTTTGATTCTCCATCGGTTCTTGGAAAGAAATCCTTGAAAGTACCACTAGAAGATGATTCAAGTTTCTGAGGAAACACCCGGGCCCTGTTGGTGGAATGTCTTTTTTGCTGAAAATGTGGTTGGTGTTCCGTGTTCAATGCCTGACTACCGTTCCGTGTTCAATGACCGATTTTCTCCCTCTTTCTGCGAGCGATATTTGTCCGCGTTCCATGACTTGATAATGTTCATCCTGGTTTCATGACTGATAATGTTCATCCTTGTTCCACGACTGATCGTGTTCATCCGTGTTCCACGAATGGAAATGTTGTTCCGATGACTGATTTCTTTCCGTGTTTGACTGATGATATTCCGTGTCCCATGACCGTTGTTGCTCCGTGCGCAGGGAGAAGGATCTGGACAGCTACTCGTGCATCGTGATGGACGAGGCGCACGAGCGCGCTCTCAACACCGACGTGCTCTTCGGCACCCTCAAGAAAGTCGTGCAGGTATGTACTGCTGTGGAATATCGTCCGAAGGCCCCCCTCCTTCCCGCCGATGGAAAATGGCAAGTAATTTCTGAGGGCGCGTTGGGTACCTGCATGCGTTTGTTGGTACCCCCCCTCCCCCGCCCCCTCGATTCTTTGTAGAACGTACACCTTTTTTTGACAGAGTGGTTCGTCGTCAAGTTCCCGTTGCTGGCGAATTCCCCAGAAGAAGGTCAAGCTTTCCTCTGTATCTGTGTGCTTGTGCTTGAAGATGGTAATGGATTACTGGGAACATCGTATTCTTTGCGTGAAAGGACTTTGCTTGTCCCGTGTTTGTTTTGAAGCCGCCCTCTTCCATCCAAAAACTAGTCATTCTTTGCTCTCTCATGATTGGTTGACTTGTTTCATCCTCGTGCCGCCCTCCGGACGGATTAGGTATACGGATTAAGGTGCCCTATTCAAAAATATCATCTCCTCTTGTGCGCCGAGCCGGAAACTTGGAAATTTGGACCTCATGATGGCTCTCTCAAAACTCTCACAACACATTCCTACCTCCCCCCTCCCAATCCCCACGTTTTGTTGTCGGCGGCTTCCCCCCCCCCCCCC